AAAATGAAAATGTCAATCCCTCGATATTATTCACAGAATGTTTTCCACTCCCCACACAAAACTATTTCATCATAAACGGGGAAAGCATGCCAAAGAAATAAAATGTCCCTTCGATATTCTTGAAAGAATGTTTGCTACTACTCACACAAAGCCAATTCATCAAGAATTCACCGCAACATTAGCAAGTTACATAGCACCACACCTTACCGGATCACAGAGAGGAAAAGAGAAGGAGAATCTCAACAAAAAGAGCCAGGATAGGAGAGCAGAGAAGAGAAACCAAGGGCACTAGATGAGGGGATCGTCCCAGAGTACTATCACGAAGTTAAAACAAGAAACACGGGTTGTGAAGTTCAACCTACGGCCAACGTGTAATAGAAAAGGATTCGCGCTAATCCTCAAGCACACTCCAAACGCACAAAACAAATAGCAAAGGGTAGCATTTTGAAAACGCATAAGCAGCAAATAAGCTGCCCTAAACAGACCCTAAGTATCAAGATGCCAATTCTTTTACATTTCATGCCATGCCATGCCTTAGTTATAAGTTGATACATATTGATGGTCAACATCTGCTTAAAAATGCTAAATTATATTTTAAAAGCTTATGATATAGATGCTAAAAAATAATGTCTACGAAATATCGTGATATGTGAGATAAGTTAGCAAATTATGATGGCCCACACAGGGAGGCAAATTTCTTTTTAAGTTAAGCCTCCATAAGAGAGTTAAAAGGGTTATTAACTTTCATAACTATCATGTTGACGCAATCAAAGCATTATCAATGGGCCTTTGATAAATACTACATAGGAGTAGACGGTGACAATGAGTTTGGGTAATTACTATGTCATATCTCAATGTGTCAAAACCTAGACTCATTACATGAAAATTATTAGAATATGACAAGAAAAAAAAAATAAAGGTAAAAAAAGATATTTGATACTAGCATTCGACCAGCATAACTCATTGCTTACATATATTAATGCTTACATCTAATATTTGTATCATTTACTTGTTTAATTATCAAAACTATATTGAATTAAAGTTTCCTGCACTAAGCTAGCTATGCTTATAATTATTAATACTAATGTTCATTCAAATGATCAACATGATATTTTATTCTCTTTTCTTTTTTTATTTGGAATAATTATAAGCAGACCACCCGAAACATTGATATTTACAAATTAAGCACCTAGGTGATTTTTTTGAAATGTCGAACTGATGTATTTATGTGTGTGACGATCAAACTATTGAGTATTTGATAAAAATAAAAAATATGGTTTGGGGTTTTACCATGAATTTTGATATTGAGAATTTAAAATGGATAAAAGAGGGTGGTTGATTTGTAAATAGCAAGTTTCCGGTGGCTTGTATGTAATTGCCCCTTTTTATTTTCAACACTATATTGTAATTATTTATCCCACTTGAGTTTTATAGCTCATTAGATATTACTCGAACAGTTGTTTTAGGCAACAAAAAGAAACGAATTGGGCAAAATATGATGATCAAGGTTTGCCCTTTTCATTTCAATGTTTTAATGTATAATTTGAAGAAGAAGAAGGATGTATGTAATACAAACTAAAAATGTATAGATAGTGTAAATTGTTTATAAAATTTATTAGAAACTCTGTAATTCATTTGGATTATTTACATTATAAACAATTTCGTTTTAATAATTATGATAGACCTATTTAAAGATTATAAATAAATAATATATGTGATGTGACAATCTAGTCAAACGGGTTTCTACCAACTTGATCCTGTTTGCTTAAAAGCAAGATGACTATTTTTATTAAATTTATAAATTTATATATTCACAAATAATCATGCTTGAAGGAACACCAAATAGAATGAATAGTCAAATTTTCAAGCCATCGCAGAATGAAGATGAAAGCAGTAGATAATTTCAATAAAATGGGATTTAAAGGAGAATTACTGAAAAGAATAACTATCAACTATCTAAAAGAATGTCACTATGGGATCGAAAATCACACTATTAATGAACTTGATTTTTTAGATAGTTGATTAAATCACACTATTAATAAAATAATTTCAAGCAGTGAGACAAGATCTAAATTTGGTGGTGAGGTGAACCAACATTTGAGAATATTTAAGACTTCTAAACCACCATTATTTAAAGAAACATGGGAGCCAACTGTTGCTGAGAATTGCTTATTGAAATTTTGAAAGATTTCGGATAGTTTGTTTTGCTCACACTAGGGCTGTAACTGAGCCAAGCACTCGTAAGCCTACTCAAGCTTGGCTCGTTAAATGGTTCGTATGCCAAGCTCAATGAGCTACCAAGCTTAGCGAGAGCCAAGCCTGACTCAACTTGTTAGCTCGTAAGTGAGCTAACTTATTTAAAAGAATGTCACTATAAAGTGAGCTTAAATAACAAAATTCAAGACTTTTAGCATAAACTATTAAGAATATTTAAATTCTATATTTTCTTTTCTTATATCAAGTGATATTTCACTATTTATGTCCTAATTGTTTTTTTTAATGCCATTTTATTACAATAATTGCTTGAATCAAAACAATTATCTTTATTATTGAACAACAATCTTGCGAGCCGACTCAAACTCATAAAATTAAGCAAACTCAAACTTGATTGATAAATCAAGCTCGAGCTCTAGTAGAGGTTGGCTCGAGCTCAGTTCGACTCGTTTACACCCCTAGTACAAACAATAAAAAAACTAGTACTGACAACATATGTGTTAGAAGTAAATAATTAGAGATGGTGGCACACACATTACCATGAAAAAATTGGGATAATACATTCATCTCATGATTGAATGGGATAGATTTTCTGAAAGTGTTCAATAACTCAGCACTGCAACACAAATTTTTTAATTTGACTTTGGGATCGAAAAATTGGTATGTAGTATCATATAGAGTTCAAATCACTATCAAGGTATGCCCCTTATGTTAGTAATTAGGAATTAAAGTTCCAATTCACTTTAGCACTTTTTGACATAAATAAATTTTCAGTTTTAATGAAAGAACTAGAAGGGTAGAGCATGAATTGAAATATTCAATGCAAAATTGGAAATAGTAGCATGATAGGATAAGAAACTTTAATGGAGATTACTCTCAAAGAATAAAACGTTGAAACTCAACAATAAAAAAAAGAAACACATACATCGTAATAAGCTATGCTGTGTATATAGTGAAAAGTGACATTTTGGATAATGTTTTTTTGGTTTTGGAAAGTGTTTCGTAAGTGGACAAGTAGACACTGCAAGATGGACTATCCTTTGGAAAAAGAAAAAAACAACATACAAGAATATTAGGAGATGATTGAAAAACAACAAAAAGTCAGGTGAATTTCAATTTTATAGAAAGCCATCAGTACAAATAAAAAGTGAAACTTCAAAATAAAAATTAAAAAAAAAAAACAATATCAAGAGTATTTTTCATCACACACTAACAAGGCAAGGAATCAGAATTTGTGCTTATAGGTATGTTTTTTATAGTCAATTTGGCACAATTCAGTTTGATTTTGATGTTTCACATTTATTAATTTTTTAAGAGTTTTTTTACCTGTTTGTCAGTTGACATTTGTGCTTCATATCTATATTATGTGCTATGATGTCATCTAAAAATAGCATGCACACAAATAGAAATTTATTGTAGACGCAGATATCCAATGTATGAAACTTAAAGTATAATTTCTTATGATACCAATGACTTTAAAATGGACTGGTTAGACATTTTTCCACTTTTGAATTTTTTTTTAAAGAAAAGGAGAATTAGGTATGATTTATCTAATGAGAAACCATTTTATTTCTCTCATTTAAAGAATATTTAACCTTCCTAATAATTGCTTTAAAAGTTAGTAAGTGGATTGAACATGTTCTTATACACAGCATAAGCAAGTTGCAAGGAGAAATGAGATTTTGAAAGAATGGGGTTTACCCATAGATATGGATTCTGTAGAGCTGATCGAACACATTAATGGCCAAGAGGGTGGAGTATAATGCTTATTGCTTTGATGTGTATGACAATGCTTAAAAGAGCGGAATTTGGAGGGGATTGAAAGAGATCACAAAACCCGGGGAAACCACAACTAAATCACAGGTAAATCTTGCAGGTACCCAACTAGTTTCATGAAAGAAGGCCCCCTTGTTGTTCTCCATGTCCATAAAAGCTCCAGTTGTTATGCCTCGTCTGTTACTATTGGGAGCTCGGTTGTTCCCCCTAAACCGATCAGCTCAGCCATAAGCTAAGCATAATAAAAATGATGAGCTTGTTGAATAACTCAACTTGTAGTGTTCCCAATTTATCATTTGATCAAACAGACCTACATTTATAGGCTAGAGATTTTTAGCAAAAACATCCACAAGTGATCCATGAGAGTTGAGAGAAAATCCTACACAATACACTGGTCTAAGGAAACTAAACTACATGTGAAATTACATGAAGAGAAAAAATACTGGAAAGTTGCACATATTCATAAGAGATCTATTTATAATATAAGGAGTATGAAACAAAATCCAACAAAAACCCCAAGTCAAGTTAGAATGCAAAATTAGCCTCAAATTTGCCCACAAGTTTAGGCAAGGTTGCTTTGACCATGTTACTTCAGCTAGAATTAATAAGGCTAAATTTGCACTCCTCAAAATAGCAAAATATAACTAGGTTCACCAGTCAAGCTGAATTTGGCTGTCTAGGCTGAAGACAATTCTATGGCCATTTTCTTGAGACCAGTGAGCAAACAGATAATAAACTCAACATCGAACATTTTATTTTTGGATTGATTCTCACGTAGGTATGAGTCAAGTAATTAAGTTTTGTAACATGTATTGCGATTTGAATGTATGAGGAAATTGTTATAGAAATTTTGGAACTGCAAGATTGTATTAAGAAAAATAGGAGTCACAAAATCTCATAAATAATGACAACAACAATACACTTGTGCAATCCTAGTGTATCTTCATCATAAATAATTCCAAAGAAAATTAGCTCATCATTCATCAAATGGCATAAAACGAATTCCTTGCCTTCATCGGGGTGACATTATATGTAGAAACACCAGTTATTGGAGCAGCGCTACGATTTTCAGCTGTGTAGAATGCAAGTGCGCTTTCACCAGGTTTTACTCTTACCTGCAGCACTAATGAAATTTAGCAGGCATATGTCTATTTAAACCATATTATAATCTTACAAATGGTTAAAACAAAAGACCTGTCTCTGTGTAGGAACAAACTTCCATGGCATTCCATCAGCAACATCAGCATTGAATTGAACGACAAGCTCCCTATAGATAAAATTGGATTAGTAACCTAAAAACACAACAAAATTAAACTAAATTGAAAGAATCATTCACAGAGTTATATCGTCTCATTTCATGCAACCAAAGAATGAAAATGATTGACAAATAATGAGTTATACATTTAAATAATGATGATAAAAAAATATCATAGAAAATTATAACCTTCCCTTCTGCAGAAATAGCTAACAGACAAATCATTAGAAAAAAGGATGGAAACTGCTGTTTAGCAGATTAAGTGAGTTTTCTGCTTTAAAGAAGCAATCAGCAAAAATCTATTAGCCAACATTTAACCACACACAAATAACTTAATACAAAAGTCCTGCAGGTAAAAGCAGGAGAAATACGGACACTTCCATGAATCTATCCAGAATATGGCTCCAAAGCCTTTGTGCTGAAAAGATAGGCTTAACAGCTACTTTAAGGAAAGGTAAGAAGATATCTAAACTGCGTCTCAGAACAATAAAACTAAAAAAAACTTAATAATAAAAAACATCCTGCAAAATCAACCAAATCAGTACAAAAAGGAAATTAGGCAAGCAATTTATCGCATGCAAAAATGTCATTTCCTATCAACTCAATGATAAGAAAATTATACTCACTTTAGGTTAAGAAATCTATCATTCAACTTACAACTCGTTGCATAATTCTTCATTAAATGGATAACTCAAGATGCCATGTATGATGAAACTCAACAAATTCCAAGGCAAGCAAAATTCATGGCAGAGCAAAGAAAGACTTCAAATGTACAAATCCAGAGAGCAGACTTATTAATAGTGAAGGACTACCTTGCAGCTTTTGTCCCATCGAGAGTATGACGCCTGATCTTCTCCTCCACACTCTGCAGAGAGTCATTCCTTGTCACAAGCCATAAATCATTAATTATTCCCAATAAAAAAATTTCACATGTAAGGAATTTAAATAAAATTGCACGTAAATCTACAAAGTGCAAACATATAAAACTTTCTTAATAAACTTGACTCACAAGTTCATGATACTAAATAAATATCAACAAGAAAGTTTGATGGGCGCAAATTTAGCACTCTAGGATTGCCCATTTACGCCTCTGAAATTCACATGATGTTATTGTAACGCCCAAAATTTGAGAAACAGGTAAAATATGACAATTTTGTAAAGCACCCAAAATTTCACATCCTCCGAAATTCAATCAAAATAACTTTATAAAAATCTACACATGAAATCGATCAATTCCATATAAAGCATTATGTATGAACTATCAACGGATTGGAAGATATAAAATCTGAAAGTATTAAGATTAATTAAATTAATTACCCTTAATTATAATCCTAATTCTGTCTCTCCACTACAGCCAACCGACTCTATGCACTTTTCTCGGCATGCAATGGTGTGATTTTGATCGAATGGCTAGGAAAGAAGGGGTTGAGATATATGCTATGATTTCCTTCCCTCTCCCTATTCAATTTCACGCGATCAGATGGATCTCACGAGCCCGGGCAATATCGCACTGTAGCAGACAAGCGAGCAGTGTTTTTAGGAGCGGCAGGGTACGAGAGCGAGCCTGGGGATGGATTTGAAAAATACAAAACCATCTTTCACATGATTCTAAACATTTTTTTCTTTCTCTTACTTCTGTTTTGATATTTGCCTCGATTCGTGCAATGTTTTCCCTTCTAGTAGCCGTTGGAGGCGTCAAACTTGTGTCGGAAGCGTCGAAAGTGTTATACGAGCTTCTGTATAGGATTTAGGAGAAAATCAATGAGTAGTGAAATTTAGGGTGATAGGAAGGGGAGAAAATTAAACTAGGCGGTTTTGGAAGGGTTGATTTATGCCAAGAAGCTGTTTAAGGTATGCGTTGTTATTGAAGGCGTGTTTCAAATTAAGTCATAATGTGAGCTGTATTTTCATGAAATCTTATGATGTTTATAAATTCTCAGATTGTTTATACGAGAAAGCGGGTTCGAGACGAGCACGAGAGAACTCGTCAAAGAGTTGTTTATTCAAGTCAAGTGATATAATCTTATATTAATTGAAAAAAATTATCCTTTATAGGTTTTTATGTATTTCCACATTCGACAATGATGCGTTTAGAAATTTTTTATATTATGGAAGAATACATAAAAGTGAATATATGAATGCATGTTAACTTCTTTTTATGATACATATGATGTTATGCTATGTTATGATACACTGCAGGTATTCACTTATGATTCATATATCTATATGAAATATTTATAAATGCATGTTATAGGTATTATGTTTTAAGAAATATCACATAAAATACTATGGATAGACTATTACATGAGTGTTTGTAAGTAAACTATGCAGAGATATGTTATTCTCATTTCCTGATATTTAGGTGGAGATGAAACTCAGAAAATCGTTCGAACTATGCGGTAATAAAACGTTAGGGAACCATTGGCATTAGGATGCTATTAATAATTGCTATGTTGGGGGAAGCTCAATCTTTATCGATAATTTATATGACCTTTGAGACAAGGTCGAGAGGACCTATGATATAAAATTATATGAAAATATTTAAGGCATATACATTTATAAGTGATATTATTCTAAAATGATATCTATGAAATGACATTGCTATAATTACATACGATAAACAGTTTATGAACATGTCTATAAATATGTTTTTAATTATACTTATGATTTCATATTTATGACATACATATTTCTACAACAGTCTTGATTTCTACACTATCTGCTTTTCTTTCTTACAAGCATGCACGTTATTTCTTTTATATGAATAAAATCTTATTTTAGTCTTAATTATTTCTCCGAGCTCATTGTTGCTCACTCTACGTTGTTGTCTTCTAGTTTGAGACAACAAACTCTGGAATGAGTAGACAGGTGTGATCTGTACAATTTTGTATTGTATAGTTTTGGAAGTTGTGCAGACTTTTTTAGTACGTATTTAATTTATGTTGGATTTAGTAGCTTTATATAGTTTATATATTTTGAGAATATGATTTTTCCACGCTTTTGAGTATGTATATGAATGAGTATGAAATATAATGTATCACGTATATTTACGGTGAATTATTTATACTAGTTCATCATCTATTAGATTTTGATTTTACAAGTCAAGATGAGCGCATGTGAGAATTTAGTCTGACTGAATTGTCCGTCTCTATCGCACCTTACCTAACCCTTAAAAGTAGGCCAGTCGGGGTGTGGCAGTTATAAATTCTTTAATCACAATATAAGGTAGCAAGTCGACTAGCTTAGTCTAGGAGAAAGATGTGACCCTTTATAAAAGTAGGCACAACTTTGGTAGCATAGATTTGCACAAGTCAAAGGAGTGGTTAAATGATCTAATCTAACATGAAGAAAGTAGGTCTAAATAATAAAACAGTCTCTCTACAAATGCACGGTATATTCTACACAAAACTGCATTAACTAGTTTTTTTTTTTTTTTTTTGGTTAGTATAAATGGGAGTAATGCCTCAAAAGTTTGATCTGCAGTTAATGTGTTACAGGAAATCAGGCGAGTGTTAGGTGTTAGGTATAGAAATAAAGAAAAACACATGTAGAGATAAAAAAATGAAATTAATCTAGTCTCTTAACGCTTGAAACCCCTAACATCAAGGAAAAATATTACGTTAGAACTCCTAACGTAGAGCTACGTTCGGAGTCCACTCATATGCGGACACATGGCTTCAAGAAAACGCGCGTGTTTTCTAGTGATCCGGTCTCCTGTGTTATTTTGCGTTATTTAGGTGTTATTATTATGGTATTGATGTGTTATTGTATTATTATAACATCGGAAATATTCTCAGAATATAATAACATACAAATATCACCACAATAATAACTGAATAACGTGGAATAACATGAGAGGAATATTCTCCGGTGCTAACATAATTTTTTTTTTATTTTTCTGTCACCTCCATGTGTCAGCATATGAGTCAACTCCAAACGTAGCACTGCTTTAGGAGTCCTGGAGTCCCGGTGTAATATTTTTCCTAACATCAATCTATCTTCTGAAGACAGAAAAAAATCCGATGGCGAAGGTTTACCTCTCGACGTTGAACGGTGCCTCCATAGCCGGTGGCCTGGCAGAAACGACGATAGAGCGGAACAGCAGCATAAGAGGCACCAACCATGGCGCCGGCCAGCGTGAGAAGATATATTAGCATCTTCTTTGAGCTTTGCTCCCGAGAAATCGCGGCACCGCTCGACGAAAAACGGCAGCAATTGCCGCCCCATACCGTTAATGGAGGTGAACGGAACCGCCTGTTGGCGAGTGAGCGCCAGATGTGGAGAGATTGGGGATGTTTTGGTAATGGGGGCATCTAGGGAGATATGACTTCGGAATCGGAAAGTATGGATTGAATTTATAAGATAACTTTCTTAAAAAATCGAGACGGAAAGGTTGTGGTTGAAGTCTGTTGGTCAGGGAGAAGGGCCAGACATTGGCTTGCGGTCTTAAAATAGGCTAACCGTAGCGGAAGACGCGGTTCGACGGTCGTGGCTAGGTGCTCTCTCTCACTAAAGGGGGAAGAGAAAGTCTTGCGACGGGAGAGGAGAAGAGCAAAAGGCGATCAGTGTGTTCGCGATAGGGGCGACGGTCGTAGCGAATGTCTGTAGCACGAGAGAAGGTATTGACGGTGCGGACAGAGAATTGCAAGCTGCAGATGAGTAGTGCATTAGAGGTGCGGGAGACCTAGATATAGACCTTCAAAATTTCTAATATTACATATTTCACATTCAGACTTTTATAGTTAATAATTCGTCTTCCCCTGACCCGCCCATCAACAATAAGAGGCTATTTGGCGCAACATTTTTTGTGGCTTCTCTGATTTGAAAATATGGGTGATATGTTTGGTTGTCGCATTCGGTGGGAGTTTGGCGATACGTATGACTCGAATAATATTATACGCCGGCAGCAGGTGGTGATGTATTTGATTGTTGCGTTTGGCGATATGCGCGGCTCGAATAATACTATACGTCGGTCACGGGTTCGACCTCGCGAATTCAAGTATTGCTGTTTAGGTTCCAAATTTTGTCATTTTTACTATTTTTGCTCCAAATGCCTCAAATTTATTTACCTGCAACAAAAACATAAAGATACCCTTTTTTAAAGTGCAATATAACAAAAAAAAGGATAAAATATATGCTTAAAATAACATATTATTTTGGTGTATCAGCAAGCCAGGGGAGTTTAATGGTGATGGACTTGGGGTTTGGGAAGGCTCGTGGAAGATCTTTCCTTGGTTTAGTCATTTTTGGAAGGGAGTCCCCTAATTTCAGGGGACCTTTAGTCCATGGCTCATGTAGGGTGGGCTTGGTGGATCTAGCTCAGCTCATAGGGTCTAAATGGTGGCTAAGGTAACCATCATTTGGTCAATTTCAAGTGGTTTAGCCAATTTGAGAGTTTGGGTTCAAAATGTGGGTTTAGGTTTGAACTTGGAATTGGTTTTATCTAGACCTTTCATTTGGCTAAATTGAGGGCTTAAAATGGTGTGCAATATTGTCATGTGAAGTTTGATTATCAATTGAGTTTGAATTGGGAAGATATGAAGTTTAATTTGGGGAATTTTGGATTTTAGGGCAAAATTGGGGATTTTGATTTAGGTTGGATTTGGGTGAGGCTTGAGACTAGGACAAGGAAAATTGGAGGCTCAAATTGATTTATGGGAGCATCATGAAGAGTTTAAAATTCCAAATTAAAGGACTTGAACAAGTTAAGGGACTTAACTTGGGGAAATTTAAGGCTATGGTCAAAGTTGGAGCTTTTGGCTCAAATAGAAATTAGGGTTTGAAGAGTGGTTCAATTGGGCTTCAAATTGGTTCAAATTAAGTTTGGGCATGATGAATTTGAGTTTAGAATTGAAGTTAAGGAAAATTGAAGTCAAATTGGTGGAAAATGGGGGTGATTTGGGGGTAATTGGGCTTTAAAGAGTAAAATTGGGATTTTGGTCAAAATTGGTCAAATTGAACTTCAGGAGTGGTCAAGATTGGTTTTGGTAGTGTTTGAAATGATTTTTGGGAGTTTGGAAAAAAATTTGGCCATGAGGGGTATTTTGGTAATTTTGACAAAGTTAGGGGGGTATTTTGAGGTTTTTGGAGTGTTTTGGGCAATTTGAGTGGTTCAAAAGAGTTTAAGGTAGTTTTTGGTGAAAAGTGGATAGTTTGGGCAAATTTTGAAAATTTAGGGTTTGTTTCAAGGAGCAATTTGGTAATTTTGAGAAAGTTTGGAGGGGGGGGGGGGGGGGGGCAAAATGCTAAATTGGGTATTTGGGTAGGATGAAATCAATTATGAATGCTAATCATAAAAAATACCCTTTTTGAGCCATGAGACCAAGGGAACTCCCATTATGGATCCTTCATGTGCTGGTCTTAACCAAACCCTAGCCTAGGGCTAAGGGTTAGGGGACCATCCACATGAGTTTCCAAAAAAGTAAGGGATTAAGCTAAGCATGTTTGGTCAGGGTTGAGGTTTAAGGTTGTGAGTGAAGGTGAAGGGCATCAAGTGTGTGTGTGCAAGATTATCAAAAACCACACCACTCCGGGCTAACCCTAAGGCCATAAAGTCCTATAGGGAATCCCCTTGAGCTCCCTCATATTGGTTCCACTTACTAAGTGTTAGAGGTTAGAATCAATATGTGAATTTAGAATTTTTAATGGTGAGGGATCTTTTACTAGTCTTCTAGGAATAGTCAACAAGAAAGACCTATAGCTAGATCCTAGGCTTTTAAGGAAGAAACTAGACTTAAACCAAAAGTGACGTCAACAATCCCATAATGTTCAATAATATATTTTGCATGTTAATGCCCATTTTTTTCAATCTCCTCCACAAACTTCATAGCAACCATGGGCTCCAAGGTTCCTCTAGTATGACTACGAGGGATGTGTTAGCAATAATACTTTACATTCTATCAGAGAAAGATCAAATGGGAGGAGTGATGGGGTGCTTCCAGTAATCCTATGAGACAATCAACTGGTATTTCTCCATGGGTCTGAAAGCACCAGTCAGTTTAGCTGCATAGTATTGACCTCACTTTTGTTGAGGTCTAGTCTTTCTTCCTTAGAAGACTAGGATTTAGCCATAGGACTTTTCTGTTGACTATTCTAGAGGACTAGTGATGGAACCTTACCCCATTAAAAATCTTAAACACTTATTTACTCTTCTTGAAGTTCCACATGTTTGGTTTTGACCTCTAGCACTTAGTAGGATGAAACTAGCATGGGAGAGCTCAAGCGGAGTCCTCATAGGTCTGTTTGGCCTTAAAGTTAGCCCTGGGTGGTGTGGCCTTAGCCAGTCTTGCACAAACACACTTGAACCCCTCACCTTTACTCACCACCTAAATCCTACAAGAGGTGCATTCTTCTGGGATATTATTTCACTGGGGTCATACCCTTGTCCACTCCAAGCCTATGAACAACAACTTCCAAAGATAATCCTGACATTTCATCATAGCTCCAAGCGAAGAAATACTTGAATTATGACAGTAACTTGATCAAATTTATAGACTCTTCGTCACTGAGTAGAGAACTTATGAAGGCAGGTCGGGGCTGCTCCTCAGTTCTGAGGTTGTCTTTCTTGAATTCATTAACTGATGACTTAATTTCTTCTTCAAACTCTAGTGGGGCGTCATTTATCGGACAATATTCAAAATCATCTTCCACATCAAGGCAATTCTTTTCTAGTGTGCTAGTAATAACCATGTAAAATTCTGAATCATCGACTGGTCCTATCGTACCAAATCCAAGGCCCTCTTTTGAGTTGAGAGTTTGACCTTTAACATTTCATAACTTCTCAAAGAGCTGTAGTTTATCATTCGGCATTTGCTTCGGTACATAACCTTGTTGAATTAATTTTTATATACACAAAGAAAAGTAACTAAATGGTAATTCCATTAATTCATTGGAACCATCCTCTTCCAAATTTATATGAGTTTCCAAATTAAGAGAAGGAGAAGCACGATAAAACTTGATTGGTTTCAAACCAATACACCATAGTTTCTTGACCTCTAGACTCTCGACTTTATGGGAGAGAATCAGAGTTAATGTCATGACCTGCATGTAGTGGTTGATCCAATCATACATAGACTCATATTCATTTTTCTCTGTATCTTCCATGAAAATCTAGAACCATGGCTTTTTCTGGTTATCATCAATGTTTCTCTACCAGACTTATCTTTCTTGGAGGTTCCTTCCATGTCGATGCTGATGGTCAGCATTATTCGTTCAACAACCGTGTTAGTTCTTCCTCGCCCGCGTCCCCATCCTTGATCTCATATGCATGGGCTTAAATAACCTCCACCAATTTGTTGCAAAGGAGTGGTGGAAGATCTTTTAATCTGAGTTGAATGTCCCTTTCATGCGGTTCTTTTTAATAGTCATCTTATTTGACACAACTTCTTGGGAAAAGACTGTTTTCTTCAGAGGAGCATAGTAGGCGGCGTCTTCATGGATGCCAATTTCATGACCTAGAAATGGCTGCAAATCCCCCTTGATGCAATATTTTTGTCCTTCCTTGCAATACTTGATGCACTAATGTAGTGATGACAAGACCATATTATGCTCGTGAATCCACAGTCAACCAAGCAAAGCGTTGAAAGAGGTTCTGCACCGATAATATAAAACTTAGCGGCTATTACTAGCTCTCCAACCTTCTTGAGTAGCATAATCAACCCAAGTGTTATTTCTCTCTTTTGATTAAATCCTCTCCACAACATCTTATCAACGGAAAGCTTCTAAGCATCAATATCCAAATATGCTAATGTCCGTAGACTCATTAGGTTGAGTGATGCTTCTGGATCTACCAAAACTCCAGAGAGCACGAATCTACTGATGCTGACAAAAATGTAGAGTGGTCGGTTATGATCGGTAGTACCAAGTAGAAGTCTTCATCGATAAAACTCAACCATAACTATTCTTTTAACAAACATTCTTTATCTGAGGACTTGCTGGCCAATTGAGCTATGAAAATTTCTAGATCAAGTCAAGACTTGATCAGAGACTCTTTCATCTTCTTTGACAGAATCAAAGCGCCATACATGTTTAGTTTGGCCTGCAACCTCCTAAGAAGAGCTAGTACATTATAATCCACTTTATAGAGACCTCGAATTCTCAATTAATTATGTGTTTCTTCTACTGGCAAAGGCGGAGGTGGCTCTTCTCGAGTGACTATTTTTTTCTTTATCTATTGGAGCCATTCTTGAGGGTAATACCTTTCCACTTCTCAGGTTCACTTCTATGATTTCTTCTTCTTTAGACTTCGTAGCCGACTCTTTTGGTGTTGCTTCTAGATATGAAAAGTACAAGTTGATTGCAATCGGTGTTCCTTGGCATTCGAGGACTAGCTCCTCACTCCTAGAACTTTCGTAACCAGTGTTGTCGACATCTTCTTTATTTTCTTTAGCATGTTCATCGAACTTGAGTATGATTTGAGGATCATTTCAGGAATCAAAATTGAGGTTAGACTGGTCGTGATCAGTTGCATTTTCATTAGAGACAGTCAAAAGTACCCAAAATTGCAATTCTCATATTTGAAGGACCCCAAAAGGGTAAAAAGATAATCATGCATAGTCAGCGGTTTGGGGAATTTCTCCCCCCGAATTCGAAATAACCAATCTAACGAAAGCAGTCCCTATCCTACCCCTCGCACTATCGGTCTTCACTTCGTGCACGATCTAGTTTTTATTTTTCTATGGTTGTGGCAACT